GCTGTGTGGTTGGGTTGTCGCTTCGTCTTTCTTGGTTACCACAACTGAGGCGGTGCTTGGCATCTGCGTCAGTGAAGAAACCTGCCATTCTCCTTAAACCCCTGGCTGTTGTCTTCCCCCTGGGGACATTTTAAACATCCCAGGATTAGTTATTGTGAACCAACATGGCAAATACTTTAAGGAGACTGACCAATACATCATCCTTCAGCCTCTTACAGGACAAGCTTGAGAGCTGGCACCAAGACTATCACGTAAGTTCATCAATAAGTAATGATCGACCTAAATCTGACCAAACCAGTGCCAGTGCCCTCGGCCAGCCTAGCTATCGCTATCACGATAGTTAGCCTATCTCATGAATCGGCTTCTAAGAGCACATTTGTATACGGTTGGAACCTAAATTTTAGTGAAGGCTTCGCAGCCAGCTTGGTCTTCTGTTACAATATCCAATCGAAATGATGAACTGCTTTGTTTACGCCTGTCAATTGTTGCTTTCTTCACGCTTTCTCATAACATTCTGTTTTATTTTTTACCCAATATTAATAGTGAAACCGAAACACAGTATTTCAGAAATGTATGCAATTATTAAAAACCCTATAGCACATGAATGCACTTGTTTAGACTAACGTTAGCCTACAGCAGTTTCCTGGCGTTAGCTTTCGGTTGCTAGGGACGCCAGTCGCCATGACTACCGCTGGGCTATGCTGCTGCTGCTGCTGCTGCTTCTTCTTCTTCTTCTTCTTCTGCTTCTTCTTCTTCTGTTGCTTCTTCTTCTTCTTCTTCTTCTACTACTACTACCTCTTCCTCTGTACTTTATTGATTGGCAGTTTGCATGCCACCTTAAGATGCATTACCGCCACCTATTGAACCGGAGTATGGCTCAATCGTTCAGCCGGGGCGGGGGGGGCAGCTTCTTTTTCTTCTTCTATAATTTAAATCAGTGTAGGCGCCACTGGCCATATTACTGTTCTCCGCAGGTAAACTTAGTGTTTTGTCGCTGGATTTAGCTAGTTTTAAGTCTCCTTTAGCCATTCAAAGCGCCTACCACTTTAAGAAAGTTCAAAGTTCATGCCGCACGTGGCCAAATCAACATGGACGTGCCCTGTTCAGTTCAGTGAGAAGTGGAATTGAAAGGAGATTAGTAAAAGGTAGGGTACACGATGAGTATTGTGAACTGAAAACTATAATCCGTAAGATATTAAAATAGGTAGTGGCGACTTGCTTTCTCTAAACAACAGAACAACTCTTGCCACCTCAGCTTTTCGCTATCATTAGATAAGTCCGTATGCAGTGCAAGAGATAAAACAGTCATAGACCTACAGCAGCGGATGCATTTACATGTAGCTGTCTTCATTTTCAACGTTTCTGCAGCACAGTCTTTTTAATTTTCTACGTGACAGCCATATTTAAAAGTTAATTGCATGCATTATATATAAAAAAACCTGATTTCTGGGCACACTGTCAAGCTGTCAGGCCATTTAACTGTAAAAAGACGTTAAATATATGACGTTAAAGACAAAAATGTATCTGGTAAAACTGGCAAAACTGTCATCATTTTTCACATATGTTCCGGTGTTAATTTTACCACCCTGCAGGGAGATGGCTGCTATTAGTGACAGCCCAGTAGTCGACACACCGCCTTCAAAAGATGATCAGCCTGATGAAATCCCACAAGACCCCAAGGATGATGGGAAGTCTGATGTTAAGGCTGAGGACGAGAGGGAGGCAGCCTCAGACCCCAGCATGTACCGCTACATCAAAGAGGACCTCTTCACATCTGAGATCTACAAAGTGGAGATCAGGAATCTACCTAAGTTCATCGGCTTCAACAACCTGAAGAGGTTCCTGGCCAAACATAACCTCAACCCGCACAAAATCAAGCTGTTAGGCAAGCAAACGTTCGCGCACGGCATGCAGTGGAAGGGCCAGGTGCTGAGCGTCAGGCTGGCCAAACCCAAAGCAGACCCCATCCTGAGGAAGAGGAGGCAGGAGGAGGGAGAGGGAGCAGGAGCGCAGCCCCCATCCAAGCGAACAGAGTGCAGTGAGGAAGAGGCGCCGCTGAGTGTTCAGATCGCCAACGTGGTGACTCCACTGTGGAACGTGCCTTATGAGGAGCAGCTGAGGAGGAAGGAGCAGGAGGTGGTGGGGGTTCTGCAGAGGCTGGCCAAGTAAGTCATACCATTTATACGGAGCCATCACAGATGTGTAGGTTTCAGGCATTGTACAGCAGAAACACTACATATTTACCAGTATTAAAGTTTGGCCATCTGTTATTGTATTTGTAAATTCTGTCTTTCTGTTCTGTATTTTTGCAATGAAAAAATGTGCATGTCCTGCAGTTTACAGTAATATGCTGCATCGTTTCCTTTTCAGAGAGATTGGCAGCACCAACAAAGCCATGTTACCGTGGCTGTTTGCACAGAAAGGGAAGTACAACAAAATGTGTTGTCCTCTGGAAGCTATTCAACCATCTCCTACACAGGTATCCACTTTGCAGAGATCTCATCCAATTCAACAGTCGCAGGACATATTTTTAAGGTTGATACTAAAAATAATTTTCATTATCTCATTGTTTTTTTCCAAACGAGTTATGTTTAGGCTACAAAATATGAAAAAAAATATCACAATTTCAAAAGGAAATTCTTTAAATGTCTTATTGAACAAAAATTCCAAAACCAAAAGAGAATACATTTACAATAGTCCAACAAAGAGAAAAGCAGTATGTCCTTACATTTGAGAAGCTGGAACCAGAAAGTATTTGGAAGTTTTGTGTTTCTAAGATCTGTTCGTATTTCTCAATCTGCATTGTAACAGACAGAGTACAGGAACAAGTGCGAGTTCCTTATCTCAGTGGGTGCAGATGGTGAGGATAAGACCATCGGTTTCCGCCTGGGGAAATATAAAGGCGGCTCCTGTGCTGTGGTGGGGCCGGCAGACACGTGCCACGTCTCTGCCGAGGCCAAGAGAGTGGTGGGTGAATTTCAGAAGTTCATCAGGTATTATTATGCAAAATATAAATATTTTTAGGAATCTGTTTTTAAAAATGCATTTCCTCTACTGCATTCAGTCTGGCTAATATTTTGCAAACAGGACAACGCCGTACTCTGTGTACAGTCCTGAGACGTACGAAGGGCACTGGAAGCAGCTGACTGTACGGACTACGAGGACCAAACAAGCCATGGTTGTAGTCTTCTTCAACCCACAGGTGATAAACTTTACTCAGTTCAGCTGTGTCTTTTTGGATAGCAGAATCACACAGTGTTGACATTCTCCCTTTTCCTTAGAAACTTGAAGAAGAGGAACTCTGTGCTCTAAAGAACTCCATGAGGGAGTACTTTACAGAAGGCGAGGGGAAAGGCAGCGGCGTAACCTCTCTTTACTTTGTCAGAGAGGGTCAAAGGTGAGGGGAGAAGAAAGAATTATGCACCATGAGTCACATTTACTGACTGATAGTCATCAGAATAATACAGCCTGTTCAGCTAAAGGTTTATGTTTGGCTGTGAAGGACATCTCCTAACCCGGAGGATTTGCCCTGTGAGCTGGTAGCTGGAGACAGCTGCATTCACGAGGAGCTGCTGGGGCTAAAATTCAGAATATCCCCTCATTCCTTCTTCCAGGTAAGAAAGAGGAACCACTGATTTGACCTCAGATATTTCTACAACCATGTGATCTTTTTCTGCTAGATTTGGAGTTTTTGTTTATTTTATTTTATTTTATGGTGTGTGCTTTCTGTGTGTGTGACGCATCCATACACGTACCAGAATTAAATGTGCCTGTGCCATATGGCAGGTGAATACAGGAGCTGCTGAGGTGCTGTACTCTGCTGTGAGGGAATGGGCCCAGCTGGATGAGGACAGCACAGTGCTGGATGTGTGTTGTGGGACAGGAACCATTGGCATCTCTCTGGCTAAGGTCTTTATCAAACGTGTGTGGGTATGCTGTGATAGCCAAAGCAGACAGGCAGGCTATTCTGTCCTTAATTACACAGTATTTGCTGGACACAATAAATACTATGATCTGAGGAGCCACTTTTAGAAATCAACACATGAGTTTTTATGTGTTGAGTCTGTCCCATATAGATGTTATGTATGCACAGACAGAGTCCTGATGTATAAATCTGCTCTAGCTAACATACTGCATCAGCAAACAAGGAAATGGAGATTCTCTGTGTGACATTGAAAGGCGAGCCTTTTAATTGTTATGTATGTTAGGGAATGAATGTCAAACTGACAGGTTTTCATTAGGGATTTCTTGTTTGACTTTTTGGCTCCCAGAGGGTGAAGAAGGTGATCGGGATCGAGCTGTGCCAGGAAGCAGTGGAGGATGCCAGAGTTAATGCAAAGCTCAACGGTAGGACACCAGAAAATCAGTGCACTGCTGCCAGGAGTCTGCAGAGTCCGATTCTTTTCAATGTACAGGCAGTTTCGTCTCGTAATCCCTTTCTTTAGAAACCAAAGTATTCAGCATGTGTAAATGGCTTAAACACCCCTATAATGGGCCTTCCAAAGGTGGATTTGATGAACGATAAACCAGAGTACACCTTTCGTAAGTGTATTTACCATTAGGAGAAAAGTGACACACTGATGTTTTTCTTTTTTTTTTTAAATGTCGTGTCACAAAATGTAATTGGAAGGTTGGTTATAGTAGCTGGGAGCATGTTGCTCTGCTTTCATAACATCACCAAATGGATCATCTTGTTTTTATTTTTGTTTCCTAGTACATAGTGATAAACTCTGATTATACTCCAAAGAGCCTTTCCCCCTTTGTTTTTCTTTTTTTGGTAATTATTTCCCTTTTTGTTTATATTTAAAGGTCTAGGTAATATTGAGTTTCACTGTGGAAAAGCTGAGGATGTGTTTCCCAACATCCTCAATGCTCTCTTGTCACCTAATGTCACAGCCATTGTGGATCCACCCAGGGCAGGGCTACGTGAGTTAACAGTGACCAAAACACAAAATTGTAACCCACTCAGATCAAGACTGGTCATCTTAAATGGTGTCTTAATTGAACACAGATTCCAAGGTGATACTTGCCATCAGGAGAGCAGAGCATCTGAAGAGGCTGGTGTATGTGGCGTGCAATGCCAAGGCAGCCATGAACAACTTCATCGAGTGAGTCAAAATGTTTGATCGCTTGGCCAAAAGGCAAAACAAATAGCTCATCAGATGAGCAGTCATTTAGAAATCAAATTGAACAGTTCTCTAAAATGGTGACATTTACACTGGAATGTTGTCTTCAGCCTGTGCAGAGCTCCATCCAACAGAGTTCACGGAGCCCCTTTCCGCCCGGTGCGAGCCATGGCTGTGGATCTGTTCCCTCAGACCATGCACTTTGAGATGCTTCTGCTGCTGGAGAGAGTGGACTATGATTCCCAGCAGCAGCAGACCAGCAGCAGTCTGTAAAGGCAGGTTCTTGACCTTAGAAATAGACGCTCTGCAGTTTGACATTTAGCATGGGCTCTCCATACAAGCAATGTACACGTATACCCATTACTCCAAAGAGCCTAGGGAAAATTCACAATTGAAGGAGTTGAAATAACACTCACCGGTGTCACATGCTCTTAAGTCCTCCTATTTCATAGTGCAGAATTTGTCACGGTATGTGCTGTATTGTATATGCTTAAGTGAGCTGTATGGACTGTGTCCTTTTACCAGTGCCTTTTTAGTTTGTTTGTTAGCTGTCTTAGGACTATAAAGCTACCTAGATATTTTTGGTTTTGAATTGACACTTTGCTCAGCTGTTAATCAGGACAAAACTGCACATGTGGGTACCATGGAATAAAAAGCTTCAGCTTGTATTTATTTGGTTTCCTCATTCTGTGACTGAACAAAAACAAAGCACTTCTAGGCATTAGGCAAGACATTTTATTTTGCATAACATATAACTGAATTCATGGAGCTGAAGTTGCAATACATCATTTTCTAGACAATGTTTCAAATATTTCACTGGTAAAACTCAACAGCAATACATGTAAAAGCATTTTATTTTCCTCAAAGTGACACTTTGCAAGACGACATACGGGGAAAGCAACATTCTTAAAGCAGTCAACATCACAACACCCTTGTTTAAACTGTTAAAAAAAGCAGCCCAAATAGAAACTCCACAGCTATTTTCTCTTTTGTTCCAGCAAATAATGCATCTATTTTTGTGTTATAGATTTTTCCGTTATACAGGTCACAGCAACATTTGTGTTCTATAAAATGCATAAGACTATGTAAGCTTTGGTTTACAGTTTCATCAGCTTGTGTTGGACTAAATCATATTTTGTTCATGTAACTGTACCAACTAAATTTTGCAAGGCTGCATTTTGAAAAAAGGTATTCTGCTTATTGAGTCTAGAGTATATGTTTAATAGGTTGTCTTCATTAAAAACACTAACAGGCTAAACAATGAATGCTTTATCATCAAGTAAAGGGGGTTTGGTCTTTCCACTTCAGGTTGAAGGGTGTTGTAGGTCCACTGTACTCTGTATACTCCGAGCCCTTCATGAAATGGATTAACTAAGGCAACATGTAGCCAAGAAAGGGCACCAACAAGAGCTACTGAAATGTACCAAGCCATTAGCTGGTGTGCATGACGTTAATACTTCAATAAAAAGCTAATGAAAACTAAGAGCATTAAAGAAATGATCCTTTACCATTAAAATACGCTTTGGCCCTGTGGTCAAAGTTTACTTGCAGTATCGGCATGAAAGACACGCCGTTTCTTTTTTCAAAGCAAAAAAGAAGAAGGAAAAAAAGCAAACGGTTCCCTCCAAATACAAAAAAAAAAAGTTAACCAAATATTCTGAAGCAGTTATTCTTGTACCAACAGCATGATCAAACATTTCTGACAGGATGCAAGTGCATAATTATAGTTCTGAATAGCGTTCACATCACAATGCAGGGTTTTAAATCGTGCAAACCAACACAGCAAGTGTCCATTCTGAGGCTAAACAAAGGACTTTTTTTTTTTCCATTGATCACCCAAACTATCCATAACACCTACCATTAAAAAAAAAACAAAACAAAACAATGAAGCAACTTCCCAATCAAGTGAATAGTATAAATACACAAGATCAAGTTAAGTCCCTTTCAGATACTTTAAGCACAATAAAATTATTAAGTACTGATACTCTAAAACTGGGACTGTCAACACTCCAAACCAAAACCTGTGTGTAACGGTTTTTGCAGCCAGAAAAGCTTGCACTTCATTTTGATGTGGTTCTTATTGTCAAGTCATGTTAACTTCTCCGCACCCTGGGTGATTTCCTTAGTGCCACAGGCAAGGTGCATCCAGAGAGGTAGACGATATTTGCTCTAAGTTCTGTTAGTGTATTTAGCCCTACCCTTCCAGCTACCAGCCGATCCAACCAAATGTCAATTTAAAAAGCAGTTCTTCCAGTGCGGACAATGCGTTAATGAGAAGAATATTAAAACATAGTTAACAATGGTTCTCAGTGATGCATAATTATGTGACTGATAACGGTATGTGGGGTACAACAGTGACTGGGTTTCAGTGCTGTAGTTCATCAGTGAGTGTGACACTTAAACATCGACAGTGCAGAGGGGTTCACTTCCTGGCTGGGCAGACTCCATTATGGTCATCTTGGGTTTCTTCCTCGTTTCCTCCTGTTACAATAATACCCATAACATGGGTGTGTGTTTAGAAAGGAAGTGGAATTATTCAAAAATATTCCATTACAAGCAGCAGCAATGTCATTTTAATGAACCAGGAACTGAGGTAACAACAGAAGACAGACATGTTACATGTGTAAATCAAGTGGAATTATGGCTTTGAGGAAGGCAGGTTAAACATATTCACATGTGTTAGAATAATAAGCAGTGCTCTGCACAAAAAAGGAATAATTCTCACCCTCTGTGAAGCCAGTTTCTTCATTTCTTCTTGCAGTTTGTTCAAGATATGAAGATTTGGCTTGTTCTTTTTGGCATACTGCTGGAGCTCGATCACACTCTTATCAGAGTTCTCCTGCAAAAGATCGGTGTTTTTTTTTTTGTTTTTAAAACTGTGCCTGCAAGTGGTTTTCCATGACCACAGAACCTTTACGGTAAGTGTTTTACACAGTACTTACCTTCTTGACCAACTTATTGCTCTCTCTGCCATACATGCGCAACAGTGATCCCCAGTTCTTAACATGGGGATGAAGCATCTGCAAGATCTTCTGAGATGCAAGTTGTTTGCCAACCCTCTTGTTCTTGCCTGGTGACAAATGCACAAAAGCCATCACTGCAAGCTACATGTATGTTAGAATCACAGACTATCTAGTCATGGTAATTAAAATAAAAAAGGGACAACAGACATAATGTGTGCTGCTTCTTTCATGAATTTCACTTAGGCCATTTTAAAAGGAGCCAGCATTTAGGTTTTTCATTCAGATTTTCCATGCTTGTAGTATGAATTTTAACTGTTTAAATGTATGCGCTACAATTCTATAACTAATATTGAAATACAGTATATATTTAATATCAAAATGCTCAATGTTAAATGTTTCCTTTTAGTGTCGAACCCAAAAAGGAATAACACCCAACTCTCCTGACCTGCCAACCTTGAACAATGTCTGGGAGTACCACCTTACGGATTCACATCTCTCTCACTCATAACATGAGCACTTCATGTTCCCTGCATTCTGGGATATACCTAAATATACATTATAGCTCGAAATGCCATTCTGGTTGTTATTTTATCCTTTTGAATTCACAACACACTCTCAGATCCCCAGTGTCTGATGTCAGTGTCAGTACTGCATGGTCATCTCTCCAGGTTACTTTATAGGAATTTCTTCAGCATCTACACCTGTCTGTTTTTCAGCAGGGGTGCCATGGTGCTCATTACTATTACAGGTTAGACCGCAAAAATTAATATGAATATTAGGAAAAGTCACACCCATCTGTAACACATGGACGATATAACTTACTTTGCCAACTTAAATGACTGGTGAACAAGCAAGCTAGTGCGCAAATACATGCACAATGTTAGAGCAACGTTTACTCAATTCATAGACTCAACTGGGGGAACGAGAGAGATAAAATCAAGGTCAAGTGTGTTTGTCAATTTGTGGATCATAGCTATTGTCTCAAAATGATATCAAAGCTATACATCTGTCAGTCGTCCCTGAATCTGGCGCTATGATTGGTCAAACTCTTGTTCTTCTTTTGCTTTAAGGCAAGAAGACCATAGCCTATCATGATGTCTATGTAACATTAGTGCACAAGTGGTCAGACTCACAAGGTGTCACCAGCTTTTTGCATACTTTAGTGACAAATCCTATCAGCGTACTTTGATATCAAAATGTGCACAGATTGGCAGGTCTGCAACTCTTCAGCTGCACACATCAACTGGTTCTCGCCATTTGGTTAGATGAGGTTTAGGGCCTACTTACACCAGCCACGCACAGTATGCTTCCCACACGTCATCACATATTCACTTTTCTGGTTTTTCCCTGGGATCACCTCAAATTTAATGCTGGTGTCTCCCATTCCATGGTTTCTGCAGGAAACAAAACTCAACATATGAAATATCCACAACCTGGTACTTAACAGGTCACAAAAGATGAGTTGTAACAGTGAAACTGGTAAATAATTTGGTACTACATAAAAAAAGACGAGCTCAAAACTACAGTTACCTTATTGGCATTATTTATTACCCCTTACCTTTTAAGGCACTCATGAAGAATCTGATATGGCGAAAGTAGTCCTGCTTTGTTGGTCAGCTCATACACCCTGGAGTCCTCTATACTGATATGATTAAAATACTGTGGGACAGATCACATTTAATGTTACAATTGTTATGTGATTTTCAAATTATTTTTAAAGATAAATTACTCAACATTTTCTACCTTTGGCAACAATGGCTGTTGTCAAAGCTCATGTTAACTGCATTCAGTGTTGGAGATAGTCCAGGTAAGAACATAAATACATATACAGCTGAGTTACTTTAAAATGGCAAAAAGATTATTTTAATCTTTTTTTTCTCCTCAACATCATATTTAATGCACATTCAGCTTGTACAACTGTTCTTTCATCAACAGAATTAAGAAAATGGTCAGGGAGTGTATAAAAAGAAAGGTATAGTAAAATAATGAAAATCATATCAGTTTCATAAGTTTGCATCCCCCTTTATGAAATGTTCTCCACTACTTTGTATGTCCTCCCCTAACCTCCTCTAACTTCTTTGGGTTCCCTCTGAGCAGTGTTTGGATCCTTTCAGGTGTAATTTTAGCCCATATTTCATGGCATCCTTGTTCCAAATCTACCAGATTGCTTTGTTGTCTGCTATATACAGCCCTGTTCAAATCGATTCCACAGGTTTTCAGTGATACTCGTGCAAAGGGGGATGCAAACATTTGGACAGATATGATTATTTTACTATACCTTTCTTTTTATACACTCCCTGACCATTTTTATTACTTCTGTTGATGAAGGAACAGTTGTACTAGTTGAATGTGCATTAAATATGATGTTTATGAAGGAAACAAAATCTTTGTTTTACCACTTTTGCCATTTCAAAGTAAGGAGATACAAACTTTTGCTCTCTAATGTAAAAACAAAAACAAAAAAAGAAGTTACCTCCAGTTCATCACCCTCAACAGGCTTCTCCTCTGAGGTCTGCTTCACAAAGTCAGGGATGAGGATTTCCAGTGTGGCTCGAGCTGCAGTTACAACAAATTACTAGTGAGAGCAGAACTACAGTTCCTATAAAAAGTATTCACCCCCTTGGATGTTTTACCCTTTTATTGATTTTATAAATCAATCATGGACAATATCATTTGGCTTTTTGACAAAAAAACCTCTTGAATGTCAAAGTAAAAACAGGTTTCTACAAAATAATTCCAATTAAATAAAAATATGTAATGGGAAATAAGTCACTGCATAAATATTCACCCCCTTTAAAATGACTGACCTAATTCAACACAGGTCCCACCCATTGGTGCTAGTAGTCCCACAGTTAGTGATTAGGGATCACCAGAGTGCAGTGAATGTGTCTCAGGTGATTGTAGTATAAAGCTACCTGTGTCTAGAAGGTCCAGTCACTGGTTAATCAGTATTCCTGGCTACCATTACACCATGAAGACAAAAGAACACTCCAAGCAGCTCAGAGAAAAGGTTGTTGAAAAGTATAAGTCAGGGGATGGATACAACAAAAATACCAAGACACTGAACATCCTCCACAGTTCAGTTAAATCCATCACCAAGAAATGGAAGGAATATAGCGCATGTCTAAATCTGCCTGGATCAGGCCGTCCTCACAAACTGAGTGACCGTGCAAGAAGGAGACTAGTGAGAGAGGCCACCAAGACACCTATGACCACTCTGAAGGAGTTACAGGCTTCAGCAGATGAGATGGGAGAGACTCTGCACACAACTGTTGCCCAGGTTCTTCATCAGTCAAAGCTTTATGGGAGAGCGGCAAAGAGAAAGTCACTGTTGAAGAAAACTCATATTAAGTCTCGACTGGAACTCACCAAAAGGCATGTGGGAGACTTCATGGCCGAGTGGAAGAAAGGTCTTTTGTCTGATAAAACTGGTGCTTTTTGGCCATCAGAGAAGACACTATGTTTGGTGGACACCAAACGCTGCACAAACCACCATCCTCACTGTGAAGCGTGGTGGCAGCATCGTGCTGTGGGGACACTTCTCAGCAGTCGGCCCTGGAAGGCTTGTAAAGGTAGAGGGTAACATGAATGCAGTAAAATACAAGGAAAATCCTGCAGGACAAACTTATTCAGTCTGCAAGAGAAGATTTATTTCCCAGCAAGACAATGACCCAAAGCAAACAGCGAAAGCTACACACAAATGGTTTAAAAACAACAAGGTGAGTGTTCTAGAGTGGCCGAGTCAAAGCCCAGATCTCAATCCAATAGAGAATTTATTGCTAGACTTGTGAAGGGCTGTTCACCCCCGATCCCTGAGCAACCTGGCAGAGCTTGAGCAGTTTTGCCAAGAAGAATGGAGTAAAATTGCAGTGTCCAGATGTGCAAGCCTGATTGAGACCTATCCACACA